CGGCGGACCGTGCGGCAGCCACAAAAGGGTCAATTCCTCCGTGGGCTCCGGTCCCCCGCCTGTTCTTTCCCTGCCTTGAGATCTGCCTGGTGTGGTGTAACAAATGCCTGTTAGCCACGCCGCTGCGATCCGGGGCCCCACCGAGCCTGGCTTTCCAACACACCACGCTTGCTTCCCTCTCCGGCAGCGGGACGGGGCTTCCGTCCTACGGATCGAACTGGACGCCTGTAGGCAGGAGCTGGATCTGGAAAAAAGCCGCAGCCAGGCTCCCTGCCTTGAGATCTGCCTGGTGTGGTGTAACAAATGCCTGTTAGCCACGCCGCTGCGATCCGGGGCCCCACCGAGCCTGGCTTTCCAACACACCACGCTTGCTTCCCTCTCCGGCAGCGGGACGGGGCTTCCGTCCTACGGATCGAACTGGACGCCTGTAGGCAGGAGCTGGATCTGGAAAAAAGCCGCAGCCAGGCTCTGAATGGCAAAGTGCAGCTGCAGCAGTCCAGGAGCTGGGACAACGCTACTCCGCCCCACGAGGTCAGTGCCATTCTGCAGGGCGCTGGCCCGCGGCTGGGGTCCCCACCGAGCTGGTTTCTATTGCTTGGTTCTGCAAGCCCCCTCATGCTTGAGCTGCAGCAAGGGGGTTCCAAAGCCATTTCCTCGTCCATGTAAATACCCTGCCTGTTAATGGTGCTCCTCGGCCCTTAGAGCCCCCAGCCCACATGGGGCTGGCCCGGCCGTGGCTCTGAACCGGCGTGGAACCTTGGTGTCTCGTGCTTTTCCACCTCTTCGATTCCCTGCTTGCCTGGGAGCAGTGCGGAGCGTGTGCACATCTGTGCTGTGAATCTCCACTGGACCCTGCAGAGCTCTTGGCTCAGCAACCCGCCAGTATCCGAGTTCAAACGCAGCCCTTCCTGCTCGAACTGCAGAAGCCTCTGTCTGTTGGGCTACAGCGACGCCACTGGTAGAAAGGACGGGCACAGGCCTGCCAACCCGCCCTTCCCTGGGAAAGGGCATTGGTACATATGCTAGTATACTGACCCCAGTCCTGACATGAGTCCCCTAAGTCACACACCTCCATGCCCCTGCAGATGGCACAGCCCGTGGGAGCAGATCCTGGTGCAAGATTGCTTCCTGGGAGCAATCGGACTTGGAAATGTCATGGGAATTGGTCTTGTCAGTGCCCCTGTCCAGTCTGGCTCTGGGTGTAAACTGCAGAGACCTTCAGAATGAAGAATTAACAGACACTTAGGCTATGTCTACACAACGAGTTTTCGCCGCAAATATGCCAATGAGGGGATCTTTTACATGAGTCGCAATCTCATGTGCATATTTTCTGCCCATCCGTTTTTGCGCAAAAACAAGCAGTGTGGACGTTTTCTTTTTGCGCCATAATCCCTTTTTCTGTAAGATCAGTATAAGATCAGTAAACCTCCTTTTTTGGGGCATAAGGATCTTGCAGGAAAAGGGGTTTTTGCACAAAATGTCCACACTGCTTGTTTTTGCGCAAAAACGGAGTGGTGCATCATGAGATCACAACTCATGCAAACGAGTCCCTCATTTGTATATTTTTTTGCCAAGAAAACTCGTAGCGTAGACGTAGCCTTAGCGATAGCAGCAAAGACGCCTGGTCTTGTGGCTACACCCAGCCCAACAGTGAGGGCAGCTGGGTCCTGCTCCTGGCTCAGCTGCTGACTCGCTCTGTGACGAGGGGCAAATTGTGGCCCCTTTTGGTGCCTCAGTTTTCTTTTTGGTAAAGAGGGGTTTATGATGCTGACCTGTCCCACTGGGGGGAGGGCAGTGGGGCTTCGGGGTCACTGGCTGGGAGGGGATGTCACCGTGCTTCTGCTGCAGGGGGAGTCCAGATTCAGCTGCCTCTTTGCAGAGGAGCTGTGGGCCGGGGAGGAACAGGTGAGCGTCTGTTGCCTCGCTGACCTCTCTGGGTGTATTTTCCATCAGCTCAAGTTGCCAGCAACCTCCAATTCCAGAGCAACATCTGGCTCAGAGAGGGATTGTCCTGTGTCCTCTCCAGGAAGGTGGGAGCCACAGCATGGTTTGTGAGTCCGTCTGTCTCCTGAAAGTCCATCAGTCCCACCCTGCCTGCTGCCCTGACCCGCTTGTACCCACTGTGCCACGCATCCAGCAGCCTGCTTGATCATCTCTGTGCTACTCCCCCCATCTGCAGACTCTGTCCCCCCCATGGCCAGCCTGCAGCTTGAAAAGGGAGACCCTGGAGCAAGATTACCATGGATCAGACCTTCTCTGTCTGCGTGCGGGCTCTTCAGCCCCGGGGGAGTTGGAGGATACCCTAGACCGGGGAGGGTAATAATTTTTGACAGGGGGCCACTCCAAGAATTTGGAAAGTGGTCAAGGGCCACGCTTTTCCATGATATTAATGGAGGAGGTGGGGGGTCTAGGATGGAGGTTGGGTGCAGAAGGGAGGAGTTTAGGTGAGGAGGCACTGTTGGATTGTGACCTAGGCCAGGGAATTGGGGTACAGGAGGGGGTGCAGGGATATGGGTTGTGAGCTAGGGCAAGAGGAGACTGTGATCTGGGGCAGGGGATTGGGGTGCCGGTTCTGGAGGGGATATGGGTACAGGAGGAGGGCAGAGGGTTTGGGTATGTGGAGGAGGGCGCAGAAGTGAGGGGCTGGGGTGCCAGAGGCAGGCTCTGGCCAGGAGACTTACCAGCCAGCAGCTGTTCCTGAATCAGCCTCCCTTGCACAGGCTGCAGCATGTGCTCTGGAGCCCCTTGTGCTTCATGGCTGCCTGTTATTGAAACAGGAAGCTCCCATTGGTCAGTTTCTGGCCAGAAACCGGCCAATGGGATTGTGCTGGGGATGGGAACAGCTCCTAAAGCTTTCCCTCTGGCCTCACAGTTTTTAAATAAGAACTGCCCTGTAGCCGCCTTTCTGAGCGGCGTGCGGGTGGGGTGAGGCAAGCAGGGAGTCTGCCTGGGGCTCTCTGCAGCGTCCGCAGGCCGGATCTGGTCTGCAGGCCATATTTTGCCTAGGCCTGCCCTAGACTGTGCTGTAGAACAGAGTGAAGGTCCTTCCAGGGACTGTACTGAAACCAGGAGCATGCCCACGGATGGTGAAGAGCACCTGCTTTGTATCTCAGCTCTCAGATTTCCAGTCCTCGTGGAGAGCCCCCGGCCGTGGAGAGCCCCCCGGGCTTGGTGCTCTCAAGGGGCCTGCCTGAAGCGGAGAGCCTGAAGCAGAGGCTCCAGAAGGAGATTGCGTCCCGGCAGGAACAGGAGGAGCTGATCTGGTCTCTGAGAGAGGTGCAGCCTGGACGTGTACTGTACAGATGCTGGGTGTAGACACACAGGAGGTGATGGAGGTGGGAGGGTCGGCATCCCAGGGTGCCCTGCAGATGACAGGATGGGTGTCACAGAGTGGGATGCCTTCTCTTTGGTCCCTTCTGACTGATGGGCACCTCCTAGGGAAGAGTCTGTGGGCTAGATTCTACAGCCACATGGCGGGGAATCCCCCAGCAGTGGGGCTGCACTAGGCTGATCCTGGCTAGTGGCGAGCACACACTGTTCCCACGCGGCTAGCAAGCGTCTCCTAGCTGCGGGGCGAAGAGGGTTCTGCAGAGCCCAACGACAGACACACAAAGGAAATACAGAGATCCCCGCACGGTGGGGACCAGGCGCAGCAGGGCCGTCCTTCCCCAGACTCAGAGCACGCAGTAGCATAGGTCACCTGAAAATTTGGGGCACCACTGGGTCTTAATGTCCACCCATCCCCCTCTTCCTAGCCCTGTTCTGTGGCTTCCAGGATCTAGTTCACTTAAAGGAACTTGGAACCTGTGACAGAGCCATTCAAGGGGTAATGAAGCCATTGAACAGGTATTTGCCAGTGCCAGGCACGTACAGTCAGTTTCTGAATTGGCTGTGGGAGTCGACCTTCGCTTAAAGTTTGCTTTACAAATATTGCAGTAGTGGAATATTGCAAACTCAGCTCTCTAGAAACCCCTCCCTTTCCCGGGGCTGCCATCAGGCAGAGGGCACCAGTTTAATAGCCCTGTGTAGGGCCCCATAAGTGTGAAGGACATCCCTGAGGATGAACAGGGGCGTTCCTGTGGGGCATGCCAAGAGAGGAGGCCACATGGACACCAGCCACCCGCCTGCCAGGAGAAGACAGTCCCCACAGGCAGGCCTGGGAACAGCGTGAGGAAGAGGGGAGAGACGCTCAAACCTCCTTTCTTTTACTGCTAGGAACTAGAGGAACTAAAACAGAAGCAGCCAGGAGACATCAAGGTGAGAGGATCCACTGGGGCGTCTTAGCCTGTGAGCATGACATGGTACAAGGTCCAGCTGCCGCTGGGGTCCAGTAACCCACCTGGGCAGGCCTGGCCTCTAGGCTCTCACAGCAGCCGGTTCTGGGGGCCTGAAGCCCCAGCTGAGCAACGCTGAAGCCAGTGGAGTGGGGATCTGGCCCTGGAGCCCTTTGTCCTTGGTCTGTTCTTTTCCTTGGCCAGAAATAAGTAAGTCCAGCGAGTCGGGCAGCAAGGGGGCGCCCCGCTTGCGAGTCTTGTCTGCTCCTCAGCACCATGGTCTCGGAGCACCTCACCATCTTTACCCCACTGCTCTTCCCAGCCCCCCACGTGCTCCGCCCTCGCCGTACCCTGGGGCAGAGAGGCCGAGTGATGTGGCCAGGGTCACGCCAGAAGTCCTATGCTAGAACAAGGACTTGAGCCTATCCCCTGGGCCACCCTTCCTCTGCAATGGGGAAGGACGGACGGTGTTGAAATAAATGGAAAACACTATTCAATGAATTTAGTCTTAACCCAAGAGCCTGGTGGCACTGGCCAGAATCGTACACCCGCCCCGACTGTCCCAAACAAGCCAGGAACCATGGCCTCGAAAGCAGGACGTGGTCCTGTAACAAGCTGTTCCCGCTCCCCTCTGTCAGGAATCGGCTGCACTTCAAGGCTCTGAGTGTTTCCCGCCTGGCGCACAGCTTCCTGCCCACACGCAACCCACATCTCAGCCACCGTTTGGCTAGGCTCTGACCTGCCACGAGGGCAGCAGGCAAGCCCAGATCTCCTGGGACCTTTGTGGTTCATTGGGGCAGGTCTCAGGCCCGGCCGTGGGAACTTGGAGAGAGTTCTAGGCAGGCCAAAGGTTCTGCTTGGCCATGAGTTCCAGGGCCGGTCCACGCCCCATGCAGGGAGCACTGTTGAGAACTGGGGCAGCCTTGTCAAACTGGCGCGTGGCCGTGGGTTAGCCTCCGCAAGGCAGTGGGTTTGACGCTGCTCCTGAGGGGCATGCTGGATGTGGCTAGGCTATCCCCTCCAGTACGCTGTGTCTCTCAGCCGGGGCTGCTGACCTGCTGTGTGGCCATGCAGGCTGCTTGCCCTGGGTAGAACAGCCTGTCTCCGGAGATCGGGCAATGTGGCTGGGTTCGCATCCCATCTGTCTGTACAGTGCCCCCCACAGTCACAGCTGAAAGCGCTTACGGGAACGTGTGTGAAAACGGAACCCCTCCCCCCATGGCCTCTGACTCGCTGCTCCTCCTGGGCAGCTTAAATTTGTCTCTCTCGTGCTTCAGGCCTCCCTGGAGGAAGTGGACACTGAGTTAGTCCTGGTCCGAGGAGAGCTGCAAAAGGTTTGGGACATGCTGAAAACGCGGGATATGGCGCTGGAAGAACAGTACCTGGCATTAGAATCGGCCAGGAGCCAGGTACCGACCTTGCCCTGAACATCCTGCCGGATTACTGTACGAGTGTGCGTGTCCCAGGAGCACCGAGGGGTCCCAGCTGAGCTCACGGCCCTGCCAAACGGCACAGCTACCCTGCAGTCAGGAGGAGTGAATGCAGCATTCCCGAGCTAGCTTGGACGGTGCCCCGGCACTACTATAGCAGTACAGCCGCGGCAGTCTGGGTGACGGCGCAGTCCGGCTTAACCACTAGGGGCTGTGCACAGCTGCAGTGACACCTTCCCGCTGCAGTGTAGACATAGGCCCGGGGGAGCCTTCCCCTGATCTAAAGAGCATCCGTCAAACTAGAGAAGCCAGACGATGGATGAGAAGGGAAGTGACTTTTCCATGGTCACTGCCTCCACCAG